TGTTCCCCGTTCGCAATACTGTGGTCTGGTAGCGTAGATAGTGAAACCATGCGAACCGCCAGCTAGGGAACACTCCAAACTCCCGAACGGTACCTGTACGGCTCTTTCCCTTCTCGAGCTCCAAATACACGAATCGCCAATAGCAGCCGAACGGCAATAGTTTTCAAGCGGCAAATAATTCCAATAAGCAGTTTCTAGGCGCCGGTAATAAAATCCCCCCAATAACGAGACCAAGCTCCGCTTTGGGGGTAAAACACGAACTGATTTACTGTGGGCTACCTGCCCGGTATTTATGCAGGTCTCTCACTTGGTGGACACTCTCCTAGGGGACCAAATGGGAGACTGGAATAACAGAGGGACATTTCAGACATACATCCCCACAATATTCCCAGCATGCATCACAGTTCCCTCCCCTCTGCTCGGGAGATAATTGAGAAGTAATTCAATTATCTCCCCGAGCAGAGGCAAATCGCCATTTTAACTCAAAGTTATAAAACACATTAAAATACATAACTTTCTAATTGCCGAACATATTGCATTCGTGTAACACATCCCCAGATAGCCTGGATCTGAGTGCATATTATTGTCGAATAGCGCTCAGATCCCATCCGCATAGTTCAATCGCCATGGAGTCAAAGTCTATTACAGCTCTTCTGTATGCGATTGACTCCATGGGAAGGCTATCTGGGTTAAGTCCATTCGTGTTGTTGAATCTCCCGAACGGCCGGCATTCGTATGCTTTTGTCGATTGAGAAGGGGAGGTCGACGGCTTCAGCGGTGTTCGGTTGAAAAAGTGTCCGTTTTCAGTTCCATGAAATAACCGTCGAACACCGCTGGTCTTTCGCATGGTTAAAATGGCCGCCGCCTCGTGGTCGACATACAAACGACGACCACCCGGTATTCGGCTTTAATTGAGAAGTGTCTGTGGTTAACCGCAATGTTCTAACTGGGATCAATAGGTTAACCAGCAGCACACTTCTCTTCTGGGTTGCCTTCCGTTCGGTAGTTCCGTTCAACAAAAAAAGACATTCCCTTAAACAAAGCATACGAATGGGGGAATTCATGCAAACGGCAAAACAGACGAACACAATGCTTTTAGTCAATACAGATTGGTCTGTCACAGTCCTCAACTGACAAAACTGTTTACACACATCCCCCTCCAGTTCCTCACAGCTGATGGCTATATGCTAACTAAGAAGGATATATAAACGAGCAGGCTAGCCAGTTTACAGACACTGCTTCTGACGACGGCGTGCTGACATTGTATTAAACTTGATAAATAAAAAGAAAAATAATAAAGAAAAAAAAATCATCATGATTACAGTTAGGTCAGTGTCAATCTGTCTGTTTTAAATTTAGAAATATGACAGAGCCACCTTTTGTTCTGAAGCCATCCACATTTATTGTAGTACGTGTAAAAATGGCATTGGGAGTGTCAAATGGTGTGTAGGAGTTGTTGGGAAAGAATGTTCCTGAGTGTCTGTTGTGCCTACAGTAAGGCTTTGTAAGAGTCATCCACCTGTGTGGACTTATGGTTGAGTTCCAGTGTGGATATTTTCGTGAGTAATTCTGATATCTGTCTCTTCCTTTTCTTTTTTCAATGTGTACTTAGCTTGATTATATGTCCATGGGTCACGCACTTGTGAGCCTCCAAAAGCATTAGCAGTGCTAAATCTGGTGTGCCATTCTCCACAAAATATTGCATCAAAGTAGAGTGGATATATCTTTCAAGTGTGTCAGCCTGTTCAGCTGGGCAAATAAATGGAATCGTAGTGACAAAATGAAGACTGAAGACAAACCCCAAGTTACTGGTAGGAGGGTCATCCATGCATCAAGGGTCATTGCTGAGAGGTCCTGATACAGGGAGACCTCATTGTCCTGAAATAAGATGGTGTTCGAACCACATGCAGTGCAGGCCATCATCTCTTCCTTTAAGGCTAAATGCATGTATGCAGCAGGTGAGATTGCGTGTCCTACCATCTTGTTGTACTGGGATCAGTACCAGATGTACCCTTGCTGCTGGAATAGGGCTTCAACAATGGTGGATAGGTGAGATAAGTCTGGTTCTGGTAGCCCATGTATGTGGATATTATTGCACCTACCTCGGTTCTTGATGTCCCCTACCTGTCAGCAAGGGACACAAGTGGGTTTCCTTGCTTTTAGCAGTGAGTTCAGTTGCTCTCTGCTGTTGCTTGCAATGTTGTAAGTCAACGTCCATCTCCTCCACCTTGTGATCTAGAGTTGTCAGATCTGTTCTTAGGTCTTCCAATTCTTCCCATACTGTGACTTTTTAATCTGAGCTAGATGCTTGGTGTTGGCTTTGGTGAGCATGGAAGCCAAGTTCCTTGAGAGTTCCATGTGAATATATGCCAGGGCACCTCCATGGTCTGTGTCAGGAAGCAATTCAATCATGCTCTCTGAAAATTTTTCTCAGTAGTCCTCTCGCTCCGAAGATCTAAGGGTGTAGAAATAAAACTGTCCAATATGCCCTTGAGTCTCCTTTAAGAATCCAACTGGGAGGTCACAGAGGCTAATACTGTCTTCTTTCAGACTTTTTTGCCAGTGTACTGGGCTAATTGCAATGGTTAAAAAAAATTCAAGGGTGGGGAGCTCTTCTAATATGTGTCTAACATCATGCCTAGTCAGGCCACGCCCCTGGATATTGAAACATTTTTAATTTCGATTCTATATATAAAATAAAGTTGAGATTTGTACTTGATTGTAATTTTTCACTGCTAGTTACAGAAGAATTGAGAGTTAATAGTTTTTGTTACACAGTCACATAGCCGAAAAGAGACATGTGTCCATCAAGTCTAGCCTTTCTCACATCTGTTTTAGCTGTTGATTCAAAAGAAGGTGAAAATCCAGTTTGAAGCATTGCTAATTTTGGAACAAACTAGAAATAAAATCCTTATTGACTCCAGAATGGAAGTTAGGTATTTCCTTGGATCAAGGAGCTATTGCCCCACTAATTACAAATCATATCCCTAAATATTATGTTTTTGCAAGTATTTATACAATTGCTGTTTAACCATCTGTTTAGACTCTGATAAAACTCAAGAAATCTAAATGTGTTGACCTTTCTTCATAACTAAAATTCTCCATTCTTTTTATTCATTTTGTAGCCCGCACATGCACTTTTTCTAGTGCCATAATATCCTTCTTTAGAACAGATGCCCAAAATTGCAAGGCATATTCAAGGTGTGGTCTTACCAGTGATTTATAACGAGCAAAACTACATATTCATCTTGAGAATTAATGACCATATTTATGCATAACAATACCTTACTGGCCTTAGCAACTGCTGATTGATATTACACATTGTTGTCTAATTTGTTGTCTATAACAATTCCCAAATCCTTCTCGTGTGTTATTATCCATAATTCACTACCATTTAGGGTGTAAGCTGCTTGTGCATTCTTTACCATGAAGTGCATTTTTCTACAAAAAAATTTAATCTGCTGTTAAAATGCCCAGTCCCTCAAAATATCAAAAACCCTCTGCAGTAAATTAATATCTTGCTCACATTGTATTACTTTACAGAGTATTGTATCATCTGCAAACACTTAAACATGACTTTCAATGCCTATTTCAATATTATTTATAAATGTATTAAATAGAAGCGGTCCCATAACAGAACCATTTGTGTCCTGCTTGAAAATATACATTAACATTAATGACAACACTCTGTACTCTTTAAGCCAATGTTCAACCCAAGTACAAGAATTTTCATCTAGACCAATTTCTTTTAGTTTGAACACTAACCTATTATGAGGAACCGTATCAAATGCTTTGGCAAAATCCAAGTAGATCACATCCACTGCAACATCCTGTTCTATACTTCTACTTACTTCTTTGTAGAATGAAATTAAATTAGTTTAACATGACCTATTTTTCATAAAACCATGTTGATTTTTGCTAATAACCGAATGAATTCTTCCCAATGAATTCCTGAATATTATCCCTTAATAACCCTACAAATACTCTTCCAGCCATAGGCGTTAAGATAACAGGTCTATAATTTCCAGGCAAAGATTTTTAACCCTTTGTGAATATAGGAATCACACCAGCCTTCCTTCAATCCTCTGGTACAATTTCGGACAGAAAAGAATCTTGAAAGATTAAAAACAGAAGTTCATGTATTTCCACACTTAGCTCCTTAAGTACACATGGTTAAATATTGTCAGGCCCAAGAACTGTGTTTGCATTAACTTTCTGAAGTTTTTGCAGTACTTTGTCTTGAGTCATCCAATGACAATTTCTCTGCACGTTATTTTCCACAATCATGTACATATCTCTTGCTTTAGGATCCTCCTCAATATATACTGAGGAAAGATTGTTAGTTAACATCTCTGTTTTCAGTGTATCTACACTTCATTTATTTTTTTTAGAATTTATGTACTTAAAATAAAAAATGTAGTTGGTTTTGCTCTCTTTGTCTATAACTTTCTCATTTAAAAAAAAAAAGTCAGTTGCTTGGTATATAAGTCCCCCATTTGGTACCCTTAATTCTGGCAATCCCACTTAAGGATACCAAATTAGGGAGTTATCTACTAAACAGCTGAAATATCAAAATTACGAGAAAAAAAAGCATTTCTTAATTTTGCTGTTTCAGGTACTTAATATATAAATCCTACATTTGCTATCCATATGAAAATGAATAAATTTGAAAATCTGTGAATCCATTTGTTCCAAATCTGTTAGTTTTCAACCATTTCAAATTCTGGTGAATTTTGAATGAAAAGTTTTTTTTTTTTTTTTTTAAATTTACAAGAAATTAAATTTGGCCGAATACAAATGCACGTCTATTCTCCACAGTCAATATATCTATGCTAGAAATATGTGGAGGACAAGTTTGAATTTCAGTTCACCAGTGTTTAGTGAAAAATAAATCCTATATCTCACAAGAAAATGCATGAACAGAATAACTCTACAACTGCTTATTTTTTTCTGGATGATGATGTTTCACTTAATGAAATGTGTTTTTTGTTTTTGTTTTGCAGAGAATCCTCCCACTACTACAACAACCACCACCACAACTACACCAGCTACAACAGCCACCACCAAAACTATATCACCTACCACAGCCACTGAACTTACTACACCAAATACAACAACCACCACAGATATACGCCCTATTAACACTACAGCAGCCACCACTCATATGCCCCCTACAAACACTACAGCAGCCACTACTGATATACCCCCTATAAACACTACAGCAGCCACCACAGATATACCCCCTACAAACACTACAGCAGCCACCATTGCTATACCCCCTTTAAACACTACAGCAGCCACCACTCATACGCCCCATACAAACACTACAGCAGCCACTACTGATATACCCCCTTTAAACAGTACAGCAGCCACCACAGATATACCCCCTACAAACACTACAGCAGCCACCACTGATATACCCCCTATAAACACTACAGCAGCCACCACAGATGTTCCCCGCACAAGCACTAAATCAGCCACCAGTGATATACCCCTTATAAACACTACAGCAGCCACCACTGATATACCCCCTATAAACACTACAGCAGCCACCACTGATATACCCCCTATAAACACTACAGCAGCCACCACTGATATACCCCCTATAAACACTACAGCAGCCACCACTGATATACCCCCTATAAACACTACAGCAGCCACTACTGATATACCCCCTATAATCACTACAGCAGCCACCACAGATATACCCCCTACAAACACTACAGCAGCCACCACTGATATACCCCCTACAAACACTACAGCAGCCACCACTGATATACCCCCTATAAACACTAGAGCAGCCACTACTGACACTACTGATATACCTCCTATAAATACTACAGCAGCCACCACTGATATACCCCCTATAAACACTACAGCAGCCACCACTGATATACCCCCTATAATCACTACAGCAGCCACCACAGATATACCCCCTACAAACACTACAGCAGCCACCACTGACATACCCCCTATAAACACTACAGCAGCCACCACAGATATACCCCCTACAAACACTACAGCAGCCACCACTGATATACCCCCTATAAACACTACAGCAGCCACCACAGAGCACAAGCACCAGCCACCAGCACTACAGCAGCCACCACTGATATACCCCCTATAAACACTACAGCAGCCACCACTGATATACCCCCTATAAACACTACAGCAGCCACCACTGATATACCCCCTATAATCACTACAGCAGCCACCACAGATATACCCCCTACAAACACTACAGTAGCCACCACTGACATACCCCCTATAAACACTACAGCAGCCACCACAGATATACCCCCTACAAACACTACAGCAGCCACCACTGATATACCCCCTATAAACACTACAGCAGCCACCACTGCCACTACTGATATACCTCCTATAAACACTACAGCATCCACGACTGATATACCCCCTATAAACACTACAGCATCCACCACAGATATATCTCATGGCAACAGCTCAGCAACCACAAAACATATATCCCTTTCCAACAATACATCAACGACAACCCATCATCCTGCTACAACAAATTCTCTATGCTCTAATACTTCTGTGACCCCTATTGTAATACCAACGTCAAAAGTGCAATCAGTTGATAACATTACTGTCACTCATGTCCAGAGCAAAACTAAACAAACTGTAAGACTCCTGGCACAAACTGTAAATGGTAAAAAAGTACATACCTTTGAAGTCAACACGACAATTGCTGTCAGAATTGAGATGAAGACCATTACGCCTTCTAAAATCTTCATCAAAACCAGTGAATCGGTTACTCCTCAATACCTACTAGTCTATGTTGCAGGTGAGAACTCTGACTCAGGTACTGAGCATCCAGACAGTGTAGTGAACACAAGTGAAACCACAATCCCTAACACAGAACCTTTTCAGCCAGATTCTTATTGCAGCCAACCAGCTCAGGCAAATACCATCACAGAATCATCATCAGTTGCTGGAAATACCTGTTCTGAAGTTACCTCTGCTACTGCTGTCACCACCATAACCACTACAGAGGAGGTGATTGTTACTGGTCCAAATGGATTTTCCTCTAAATGCACTAAATATTAACCGTTCTTTATTCCACGCTGTTCTTCTCATGTTTGCTAAGGAAAAGTAGCTAATCTATAGTAAGTTACTAGATTTTAGGCAATCGGCAGAAACAATGATGTTTTTACAGTGATTACTCTAAAATAAAAACTTTACACCATATTATTTTTCTTAATAAATATTGGCAAGTTCTTTTATGCAAACAATATTATTTGTAGACTGCTTTATTTTCTATATACCCATTATCATTACTGATGACATTATAAATGTTTTCATAAAGAAACATTTCTTAATATGTTTTCCAGTAAAGTGCTTGGCACATATCTTGCATATGGAATCAATGACGAAAAGCATCTTAAGAAAATAACAAACATCAATATTCTTGAATATTGCAGTAATAGAATATTTTAGGATTTACATATATTTTGACATTTCCATTTTTAAAGACTGATACAGGATTTCTTGATTTAAAATTGGATGTGTTTAATTCAAAAAGTATTTGCTAAAGTATGTAAAATTATGCATGGTTAACATAATCCACTAGTCAAAGCAAAGAAGGATTAAACATAAGGTGACTCTAAGCAGCCACCTAGGCTGTAAAGGTTTGAAACCACAAATTAGCTTGGCCCCATTAACCATCCTTATGTAAAGAATATGGGGGGGTGGGGAGGGAGAAAACTTGTAATCTGTCGAATGCACCAGGGGGGTTTCTCTTTCTCTGTGTGAAAAAAAAAAATGTGTCTAAATTATGTTTTTTACAATATGTTTTGTTAGCTTCCCTTGTGGTTTTTTTTTTTTTTTTTTTCGTTCTTGTGTTATGTTCATGGTTTGTGTTTGTTAGAATGGGTTACATTGAAAGCACCAGATAACCTAATTCAATACTGTAAAGGCCATGCTATTCTGCTAAATTATTAGCATTATCAATTTTGCAGCCTGTAGACAATCACACAGATCATGTAATTATTTTAATAAAAAGGGTGGAGGCAGACAGTTAAGGATATTCACAACAGATGCCTTTTTGTTTTAAGTCATTGTTTAAAGTTCTATCCTGTCACTTCAAAATGTTTTCATGTTTATTCATTGTTATTAATCTTACTGGATATCATTAAAGGTGATTTCTTGCATCAGAATACGATTCCTTTTATCTTTAGAATGCACCCTCACATTAATAATGACAACTATTTTATTTGAATTTTACCATGGATTCTTAATGTTATAAAAGGGTACACTATACACACCTACTCTGTTCTAGTGTTGATATCAGGTATCATATATCATGGATTTGCATAGATAAAGGCAAAGATCAAAATATTTTCATATTTCAGTTGCTTTATTTTTTTAAGTAATTTTGATTATCTGCTAAATTGGTTAGGTTAAAATTTTGTTGCAATAATACTACATGACATTTATTTATGAGATATATTTAGATCACTATTATAAGAAACAACATTTCAGAGGGAAAAAAAAATTGTAAGTTTTATGTAAGATTTGGGGAGGGGTCACAAATTTTGGTTTTATAATTATGATAAATATTAATCACAATAAATTGAACAACCTCACTACTTGGCTGCCGAAAAAGATACTGTGTGGCCTGTTTTTCAATATAATTATGATTTGTAATTTAATTTACCCAGTTTAAAGGGAGATTGTAGGCACAAAAACCACTGCAGCTTAATCTAGTAATTCTGGGACAACTAGTCTTTCCTGTAGGTGGAGCAGTGTAAGTAAATGCAGTGCATAAAGGCAGCATTCCTGTTTAACTAACACCATCTTAAGTGGCTGTTAGTAGAGGGACTTCCTGGTTGCAGTACTGCAATGATTGCAGGACTGTCATTCAGCATCGCCACGCTCCCAATACAGATTAATTTAGTCAATGCATCTCAATGATGAGATGCTTATTGATTGCCACACATGAACCAACATTGATTGTAACATAAACAAAGAATATGAGAACTCTGAGAACGGGCAAAAGCTTAGAGAAACTCAGTAGTTTGCCCTTTCGGTAAATCCCCACTCAAAAAGTTTACTTGGGCCATTACAGAGAGGACATATCTGAAGCATATCAGACTAATCTCACCAATACGGGCAGTACTGATATGATAGCAAGCTCCCTTTACACGAGAGATACAACAACCCCAGACAATCATTTCAGCCTTCTTTGGGCCTCATCAGTGAGGTGTAGCTGATATCCCTGTAGGCACAGTGAGCACGGGGTCCATGTCTGGATTACCCTTTTAATTTGGGGAGAAAATATTAGATTGGCTGAGATCATCAAGACTGATAATCTCAGCCGGTGAGGCATACCAGCAGGATGGAGGGCTAAATAAGGTGCATAAACAAGTAGGAGGAACAACCAAGCCTTTGTGGATGTTTTCTTGAATGGTTTATCAGAGGCTATATTGGATGAGAGAGCCTTACCAGAACCTATGCAATTAGGGATGACAAGGTTAAGCGAGGCCGTATGCCAATACTGGAGAAGAGGACCTCTCCATTTGTCTTGTCCTAGCAGGCCGGAAAACTCTCACACCTAAGTCCTTATGGGGGACAGGCCTTGGGTGTTTCTTCTTTGTCCTCCATAAAACATAATGATTACAGGCTTCTTATTTACATCACCTTGACTTGGGATAAAAACATATTGAAGACTTTGGCATTAATAGATTCTGGTGAAGCAGAGAACTTTATTGATCAGAGTTTTGCTTTTGAAAATTCTCCTCCTTCCTAGTTAAGAGATACACCCTTGGCCATTGAGGCCATAGATGGTAGACCCCTCCAGGTACCTGTGATTACACACAAAACCATACCAGTTCATATGTTGGTAGGCGTGTTACACAAGGAGATTTGTGTACTCCAAGTGAACTCTTCCCCGGCTTTCCCAATAGTGTTAGGGTTCCCTTGGCTGAGAAAGCATAATCCAACTATCGGCTGGGAGAGAGGTGATATAATAGCTTGGAGTAACAATTGTCGTCAGGAATGTATTACTAAAGTAAAGCCTATTCACCTTATTAATATTCCTACCATGTCTCCTTTGTCTACAGAGGTATTTGATAAGGGTAAAGCTGATATATTACCAACTCATAGATCTTATGATTGTACCATTGAATTAATACCCGGTACCATGCCTCCTGAAGGCACTGTATATCCTCTTTCAGCTAAAGAGAATACTATATTAGAGGAATGCATTAAAGAAAACCTGAAAAAATTCTTTATTAGAAAATCCTCATCACTTGCAGGGGCAAAAAGGAGGGTGACCTCAGGCCTTCTATCGATTACAGAGGATTGAATAAGATTACGGTACCTCTTATAACCGATTTGTTTGATAGATTGAAAGGTGCTTAAATATTCACCAAACTTGATTTAAGAGGAGCTTATAATCTTGTCAGAATACGTAAAGGAGATGAGTTGAAGACAGCCTTTGTAAAGAACTCTGATGTGGTAGCTAGGTATTCGTCTGTTTTTACCCAAACTGCTAAGAGCATGAGTGATTATAGCTCACAGTTCAGGTTTCCATTTGTCTCTTTCTCCAGAGTAGGTACAGCTTTCCCAGCAGAATCTCCAAAAGTAGTGAACACATACCCAAACATCAGCCAAAACTTGATGAAGGGTGTAACAGAAATGAATCTTTATTGTGCCATACTGGCTTTTATGCAATTCTCCAGGTCAGAGGAACACCCCCTGGACCTGATGGAAAACAGGGACATAACTTATTACAGCCAATGACAGTACAGGGACAAACAGTGATACTCCCTCCTCTCTGCCTGGAGATAATTGGGTCAGATGAATTAATAACTTAATTATCTCCAGGCAGAGGGGACATAATTTTCACAAAACTTAGAAAACACCCCAAAACATACTGGACCCCCATAAATGTCACATCCCCTGATAGCCCACACGCGAAGCTCCTGTCCAGAAACAGTTCAATGTGTTTAGGCTGTGCGGTCAGTGAATTTAATCAAGTCGCAAAACCGAACAAATGCATTAACGGAACCCTCTGGCTCATAGTAGCGATTGTTCCCCTGGTTCGTGGGAACCAAGCTACCGAACAGCGCTCTCCTAGCTGGGAAAAGGAAGCAGGCGTTCGTTAGTTTGACTGGTTGTTCGGGAACTCAAGTGTCCAATTTTAGTTCCAGACACTCGACAACCATGTCCCACTGCCTTCTTTCGTGCAGACAAGATTTTCTCTTCCACATGGCGTTCGGCTACATGAACGGCGGCCACACAGAGAGAGCGCTTAATTGATGATTTCCTTAAGTAATAATGAGCCAGAAGGGTGGTCAGTGGTTAGGTAGTTTGAAAACTACCAAACAAATAAACAAAAATGGAGAAATAACCAAAATATTGTCTGAACAAAGTTTAGAAAATGCTGGTTTTCACATCCTTTAACATCAGATACGGGCATTACGAGTATACAGTAATGCCTTTTGGGTTGTGCAACGCCCCAGCTGTCTTCCAAGATCTCATAAATGACGTATTAAGAGATTTACAACAAGAGTGTGTTATCGTCTTAATATGCTCCAAAGACAGAATGATGCATCACAAAAGAGTGATGAAAGTTTTGACCAAACTGTTACAAAACGGGTTATATTGCAAACTAGAAAAATGCCTTTTTGACCAGTCTCAAATTAATTTCATAGGCTATGGAGATGGATTTGGATCCTAAGAAATTGGATTCTATAATCAAATGGCCTATACCTATTGCACTAAAAGCTATACAACGATTTACAGGTTTCTCAAATTACTATAGATGCTTTATTAAAGATTTTTCGTCTACCGTTACTCCTATAACGAACATCACAAAGACAGGAGTGAATCCTACAAAATGGTCAAAAGATGACTTGAAAGCTTTCGAAGTCTTCAAAATGTCCTTTGCATCTGCTCCTATACTAGTCCATCCTGATTCCAACCTACCTTTCTTACTTAAAGTTGATGCATTAGAAACTGGTGTGGGAACAATTCTGTCTCAACCTCTTCATCCCTGTGGCTTTTATTCTAAAAAACTGTCTGACACAGAAAATATGATATTGGAGATAGGGAAGTTCTTGAAATCATTCTGGCTTTTAAAGAGTGGCGTCACCTGGAAGGTACCATACATCCTGTAACTGTTTTAACAGATCACAAAAACCTTTCATAAATAGGCGAAGCTAAACATTTGTCAGCTAGACAAGCTCGTTGGTCACTTTTTCTAGCTAGATTTAATTACATTCTCACTTATAGACCAGGATCTAAAAACTCAAAAGCTGTCGCTTGATCCCGACAATCCAAACCCCTTTTAGATCCTGAACCTAAGGTTTCCTCTGTTGTTCCTCAACAATGCATTATAGCCAACACCAGAATCACTATTCAGTCTCCTCTTGTATCTGATATCATAGCTAAATAAGCCTTTGCCCCAGGAAACACTCCTGATGGAAAATTGTATGTTCCTCTAGAACACCAGAGAGCAAGTCATCCAGGTATACCTAAAACCTATGAATTAATTACAAAGGAGTTTTGGTGGCTGTCTTTATGTAAAGATATTAGAGACTATGCTGTGTATTTGCTGTGTATGTGCAATGACCAAACTTTCTGTCATGGCACAGCCCAAGCCCTGCAGACAGCAAGGCATGGCCACCTCTTTAAGAGACCTGGCTGGATTTGAACTCACAGCTCCAGCATCCCAATCAGGTTCTCTGCCGTGCTGTCCAGCAAGGGGCTTCACTTCCTGTTTGCATTATTCTACTTCCTGACCCCTTGCCTGGATTAAGCAGTGCTGATCCACCTGTAGCCCTTTTCCAATTAGGGTCAGCTGCATCTAATTTGCGGGCTGTAAAATCGAGCCCTGTCTGAAACCTAGCATCTGGTCATTTTGCCTGTTTGGTGTTTCCTACCTGATCTTTACTTTGCTACTGACTGATTTCCTGGACTCTGACCTCTGCCTGATTTACTGACTTCGTTACTCCACTGTCAGCCCTGACTTCTGCATCTCGTCTGACCCTGCCTTTGGATTTCTCCTTAATCTGTACTGTGCTTCTGGTTTTTGCTCCTCCCTGTGCCATCTCCTGCAACTGGGCTCCAACTCCTGTTAAACTGTTACATAGGTCCCCAGGTGAGTGTTACATAATGACCATATCAACTACCATGGAGCCTGCGGAGATGA